GTCACGCATGGACAATCGCATGGTAGAATTTCAAAAGGATCAATACCGAAAACTTCCTCTTTGAAATTCTAAGATCCAATGTTCAGAAGCGAATACCAACGTATAATACACAAGTGCTATACCCTATTAAAGTACAACTTTATTAATAGCTGACTCTATTGCTTACTGTTAGTGAAATTGAATTGTTCTTAAGTCTTCTTGATGTAATATTTTATTTAATTTCAGAGTTTTCATGTTTTAGGGTACATCATTATTTATAAGTTCCTTTGTATATTTTCTATATCTGTATTGTTTAAATATGTTTTGTAAGAATGAATGTGGCCGTTATAATTCGACGTCTAGAAAAATTAAATTTTCTGAGTTTTCAAAATGTCAGCGAATTTTATTTATACAAATATATTATATAAACTACAGAATTCGTAATAATAGCTGATTGTAAAATGTAGAATACAAAAGTCAGAGACAACGAAAATTCTCTATTTGAGAGTCGGATGAAGGTGTTATGCAAAACAAGGGAGCAATGTTCGCAAGATGTGAGCAACGATATTGCAATTGAAACGTGGAACCGTGATCCGGAGACTACGGGCAGTGCAGCTCGGAATCAATTTGCATTCAATAATCCGCGATCGTTAAGTCGGATATATTTGACGGAGCATGATTCCCGAGGTCGGAATCGGCGGCCCGGAAATCGGCACGCGGATTAGACGCTTTGTCACCAGATAAGACATCCTCCTCGGCCTCCTGCTTCTCTTCCCCAGACTACTGGTCCCGTTTCCTGGTTTGCTTATGAATGGGCCACGCTCCGTGGCTCGCTGAATGCGTGTCTGTAAACGACTGCATTCACCGGCCATCTATGCATCCATTCAACTGCATCCGACGAACTTGTCGCCGTCTAGAAACTCGCCGGAGACAAGTGCCGCGACCACGCGTTCCCGGGAATCCTTTTACCCAATTTTTTTCTACGGACAACCTTGTCAAGGCGAGTGAATTGAGTTGGAAGTTAGAAATGGTCAGTCTAGAAACGTGTTAAAACGAAGGAAGAAAGGTTCTATTTAATAGAAGAATAAAACAAAAATTCCAGCGTTCAGCAAAATTTATTCGTTCTTCGTGTTATTATAATATAAGGCTAGTAGCAAAGCTTCGATCATCGAGCACGTCATTTCAAGTTCCCTGTAGTACACGGATAATGTGACTTACAATAAATACGCGAATATATGAATTACAAGAAGAACGTACATTCGAAGGCCGAGCGAGACAAATGATTAAATCGTTTTCTTAATTCTATTGCTATTTATCATTAAAGCTTTTTACGCATAAATGTTCTCACCGCTCTCACTCATTCTCGTCTGTATGCTTTCGCAAAATTAGATCACTCATAAGACTATTTACTTTCTGCATTGTACAAGTGAGAATTATACATGTATTATCAGAAACGATATGAACATAATACTATATATCTTAATATGTAGTGTCATCTTTGCATCGGTGCTATCTACTAGTTAGAACGATAGTTTATTGGAATCTTAACAAATATCGCAGTGCAGCGATGAAAACGATTTACCAAAAGCTTCGATATTAAAGCATGATTATTTTATTAATTCCTAAAAAATTATTTCTGTTCATTTATAATTCGTATTTAGAGGAAAGTTTCATCGAGTACAATAAAAGCTTTATTTCTGTGATAGGATAAACATCACAAACTTTTCTTAAGAATAGCTCTTTTGCCATAAAAATTTTTATTTTATGAATTTAATCGTTTAAATGCATCCATTTAATAGACAATCAACAATTGAGTTAAAAATGATTAACCGGGAAATGATATTTATATCAATTTAGCGTACACTAACATTCTGTTCTAATGTCGTTTAGAATATCCAGAAAATAGAAATACAAACAGGACAATTCACTCGCTGATAATTAATTTGTATTGCCAGAAATATTTTTGGATACAATTAAATTTTCATTTACTATAAATCAATTTATGCAATTATCTACTTTTCACTTAAAACGTTTCTAATTCCGAATCTTGTGTCCGTTTTTAAAAATATAACACTCACAATATCTTATACATCGTATATCGTTTCTCAAATCGGATGCAATTTAGTCATCATTAATTAAGCATAACGTGTTATATCGATTAAGTGAAATACTTCTGTGTCACAGAGTTTATAATTGTTCGGCAAGTATCGGTATCGAATTTCATTTCACTCTAATAACATCCTCAAACTTCATAAGATAATAACATAACATAAGCGATGCGTACTTTCTGCTATCAGGAAGAGTAGCTGTACCGTGTATTAGGGAACGTTCACTGGTATCTATGTACCACCTTCTTCGAGGGTGGAAGCTCCCGAGAAAGCTATCAGTAGGAGGGGTATCATTCCATAGATAGCTACAGAGCTCATACTCTTGGCTCATAAACGGGTAGAAGGCCACCTAAGAAAGCCATCATAATCTGTAAGTTAATGAAGTCTCGAAGATACGATACTTAATGGTCTTCGATTATCCTTCATTTAAATAATTATATATTATCGAACCAGTTAATAATTAATTAAACCATTAAGCTACTTGCGAGCATGATTCCAAATTAAATATATGATTAATAGACTGCGGATTTTTGTGCAGAATAAAATATTTCGAAGAGGAAATTGAATAATGAAATTTAGACATGGTTTGTATGTATAAATTAAATGTCATAGCAACTACTTTGCTTCATTTTCTCTACTTTTGCATACTAAATTCACTGATCAAAATTCAATATACTTATGTTCGCAGTTTAATGATCAATCAGAAATAATTTAATTATTCAATCAGAAATAATTTAATTATTCTGAATGATCTAAAACAGTCTTTACACAAAATAAATTACAATATCAATTGAAACTATACATATGTACTTCAATGAATTTTATGAATTTAATCGTTTAAATGCATCCATTTAATAGACAATCAACAATTGAGTTAAAAATGATTAACCGGGAAATGATATTTATATCAATTTAGCGTACACTAACATTCTGTTCTAATGTCGTTTAGAATATCCAGAAAATAGAAATACAAACAGGACAATTCACTCGCTGATAATTAATTTGTATTGCCAGAAATATTTTTGGATACAATTAAATTTTCATTTACTATAAATCAATTTATGCAATTATCTACTTTTCACTTAAAACGTTTCTAATTCCGAATCTTGTGTCCGTTTTTAAAAATATAACACTCACAATATCTTATACATCGTATATCGTTTCTCAAATCGGATGCAATTTAGTCATCATTAATTAAGCATAACGTGTTATATCGATTAAGTGAAATACTTCTGTGTCACAGAGTTTATAATTGTTCGGCAAGTATCGGTATCGAATTTCATTTCACTCTAATAACATCCTCAAACTTCATAAGATAATAACATAACATAAGCGATGCGTACTTTCTGCTATCAGGAAGAGTAGCTGTACCGTGTATTAGGGAACGTTCACTGGTATCTATGTACCACCTTCTTCGAGGGTGGAAGCTCCCGAGAAAGCTATCAGTAGGAGGGGTATCATTCCATAGATAGCTACAGAGCTCATACTCTTGGCTCATAAACGGGTAGAAGGCCACCTAAGAAAGCCATCATAATCTGTAAGTTAATGAAGTCTCGAAGATACGATACTTAATGGTCTTCGATTATCCTTCATTTAAATAATTATATATTATCGAACCAGTTAATAATTAATTAAACCATTAAGCTACTTGCGAGCATGATTCCAAATTAAATATATGATTAATAGACTGCGGATTTTTGTGCAGAATAAAATATTTCGAAGAGGAAATTGAATAATGAAATTTAGACATGGTTTGTATGTATAAATTAAATGTCATAGCAACTACTTTGCTTCATTTTCTCTACTTTTGCATACTAAATTCACTGATCAAAATTCAATATACTTATGTTCGCAGTTTAATGATCAATCAGAAATAATTTAATTATTCAATCAGAAATAATTTAATTATTCTGAATGATCTAAAACAGTCTTTACACAAAATAAATTACAATATCAATTGAAACTATACATATGTACTTCAATGCCGAAGTAAAATGTTCGATGAAACTTTCCTCCCATTATTATGACACATGAACTCTAAATAAAATATATCATCGTTACTTTTTACTAGAAACGGTTAACATTGAAGTCACAATGAAATTCATTTACATATAACTAATAAAGCTGTACAGTGCATTTTGGAAACTCTAAAGAAATAGATATTACACGTTTAAAATAATGTATCACAATAACAACGGAATAAATACGAATGAAATAATCGTCACGTAGTCCATAAAAAAAAATCATAAATGGGTCATATCGGTGGCGAAAATTGTAAATGTCAATGTGACAAAACGTTCTGGAATTTTTCATGATATCTTCTCAGCGCGATGATGCTGTCTGTACGCGTTTGATACGACAAAAGAAAACGACAAAAATGACTCATATATCACATTCACTCCGGACCATTCTCGGGCGATCGTCCCATCCTCCCATAATGTCGTCGTCTCAATTACAGATAGTATTCGAGGCGACTGGACTTGGCCGGACCGTACCGCGCGAAAGAGTCCTGGTCAGCCGTTCCTTGAATGACCGGCCGCCGGCGATGCCGAGTAAAAATAATATTTCAGGGGAAATCTCGCCACCCACGCGATCTCCCGCCCGTTATTACCGGCAGAAAGATTCGTTTAAACCCGTTCAAATCGTTACGTGACACAAGCTGTTACCACCCGAAGACGCCACCAAGTTGCAGTTTCAAACTCCCTTTAATAAGATCCTCTCTGTCAGCGTGCAATTTCGCGCGACTTTAGGATTTTATTGTCCTGTTTCAGAATCGAACAGTCACTTCATCGATTTAATTGCTAACATAATAATAATCAATTGCTGTGAAATGTGAGAATTAACAAAAATGTTATGCAATATTTCATATTATCTTTTTCTAATCATAAATGTCCTTGATTTCATTTTTTCGTATTGAGTTTTAATGTCAATTCGGACTGGAAGTGCAGGCGCAGCTCCTTGAAATATTATTTCTATTCGTTTCAGAATCAGTAGTTCTTTATACAAGAAACTGTGCACAAAATTCTGAACTACTTCGAGCATTCACGGATCAACGCTCCCGTCAACAACGCGACTTGTTTCTACGAACTTTCGAGTGCACACCACTTAACACCCTTCCAATCGCAGGGCCGACGATGTATCGTTCCGATTCAAGTCCCTCTGTGATAACATCGCGAGGATACAGGCAATTACAAGTTCCTCGTTGATACGAAGAGCGGAGATCAATAAACAACCCAGATCTCCTCTCCTCTTGGTAATTCAGCAGAGGGTACAATTTTTTATACGAGGGTTATACATTTTTTATAGGACTGATTGACGAAAAAAGAATTAATAATAGCAATCCCGTTTGGCAAACGAGCGTTAGACAGTCGCGTTTCACGTGTAGTGGTGATCGTTACGCGTGGCGTATAAACTGTTTCTGAAATCGATTTCACGTCGGAGGTATCCGCGCGTGATACTTGAAATAAATGGTCGAAAAATTACGGGCAAGCGACGAACGGGATACTTGTTTTTTTTTTTCGAATTTCGTCTAAAAATAAAAAGACAATTTTTTTGGTCTTTCACGGGAAAAAGTTCGACGGGGAAATTGGCGAAACTACTGCTACCAGGCGCGCTGTTTGAGAGCCCGGGTAAAATCAAGAAAATAGAGAAAAAGAAGAGGGAGACCTTCCGCTCGATTTATGTGTTCGATGGTCACGTAGAAATTTGGACGAAGCGCGTGGCGCGACGGGTAAAAGTGAAAAACGAATGGGACGATCGAAGAAGACCCGGAGCACGACGTTCAAGCGCGTTGACCTGCAAAGAGGGACGATGTGTGTACACGTACCACACTGGACTGCGCGGCAGGAAGTGGTCAGGTGCGATTCAGCGGGTTCCGCGGCATCCGGTTGGGAAAACGAGACACTTCCGGTAGTCCTGAATGCGCTGGGAAGGGAAACCGGAAGCGACGGCGGAACGGCTAGGCTGCTCTCGAAACCAAAACCACGGAACCGCCGTCGCGAGAATCGGCCGAAATGTAATCGATGACGTTCGATTGGCAGCCAAAGAAGCATCGAATGATAGTCTGTTTTATGCGCGGCTACTAAAGTCTAATTCAAACTGTTCACTTCGGACGTGCATTCCGGATGCTCCATTCACAGTGGAAGATAAACGTTCGATCTCTTGTTAATCCTAATTTCCACTTCTGACGCATCGATTGAATAAAATCATCCGAGATGCCAATCCAAACTGACAATGTAAATTCCTTACACTTTAGTTACAATATTATTTAAATGTCTCCGTACACCTTATTTCTTGTGCTTCCTCAATTAACAGACATCGGCATCGTCCGCGTTATGAAAAAGATATTTTTACATAGCATGAAACGTATTATACACAGAGACGTGCAAGGACCTGAAAATCTCAGAACAGATTTCCTGAAAGTACCTTATAGTACGAGATTGTCGGAATTTTCGGAATTTCCGAAAACGCCAACGACCCGAATCGCTATGCCGGAAAATTTCTTAAATTTCTTACATTCTGAAGAATTTCTATGTTCCTGAGAAATGTAATTACGAAAATTACAACATGACGATGAGTAGACAGCGCCTTTACATGGAAATCCGAAATAAAATCTTACATGTACAACATTTGTAATTATTGTATTTACTCTACATTTTATCTATCGTATTTTTATAATGTTTAAAATCATATAAAACGTGAAGTTGTTGAGAATCGTCAAATTCTCGAAGAAACCCGATATTTTTAGCGGAAACCTGACACTCCCGAATCACGACGTACTTTCGGGAACCCGATCCGATATTTTCGAGTTTTCTCACACTCCTACTTATACATTAGATTCACCTTTCAAATGTAACTACAGGAAATAATAATTTCTATATCATCCATCCTGTTAACATCCACACAAATGTTCATTGAAATCCGAATATCATCCCGAAGCTCTATTTTGTTTTCAAACCAAGTTAATCCAATTAGCATCCGATGAACGATCGCAGAAAATTTGTTCGGTCGCGCGTTGGGCCGAGCATCATTACATGGTCCAACCGGTGGTATAGTTGCGGGAGGACTTTCCCATGCGCTGCATACGACCTGCGGAAAACATGTGCCCATCGATGGCCGCGTGTAAGAACGTGTGCCAGATTCATAATGATTCTTTGCCCCTTAGTTCACTGAACCAATAGATCGGATGACGGAGGAAGATCAATAATAAATTCTTTTAATTGTGAAGCAATAGTATTTTTAATTTTATTCTGTAAAAAAGAATGGAGATGTACCTACTTCTGTTTTAATTGATTGGTCAATAATTATGTCTAAAAATTATAACATATGAATAATCATATTTATATTTTATTCCTCACGCTATAATAAATTTTCAAGGATCGGAAAATACAATTACACGAGATCTCAGTATAAACAGTGTGCGGCGCAAAGAGTAATTTACATCTCACTAAAGAACCCCCTATCGTGGATCGCGGCAATGTAAATGGAGGGTGAAAAGGATCAAAGCAACGCGACAGAACTGACGCAGTGAAAGCGCCTGATATGTAAAAATGGATCCAGGGAAAAATGTTGGCGTGTAGCCTCCTTCGAAAGGGATAATCCACAAGGTATACGAGTATCCTCTGTGTCCGGAGCGGCTCGTCAAGTTTTTAGTAATTAATGCGTCGAGTCCAGCGGCAGCAAACGCTTGTTTTACGGTGAAACCTTTGATTTAAAGGCTTAAAGAATCGTAAGAGGTGTCTGCTACGCGAAAGCGAGTTTACTTTGAATTTTACTCCAACATTTGTTTATTTACGTATGGAGTAATTGCTGTATTTCTATTTACATCGCAGTTACAGTAGGAATAAGGGTTGTTGTGATAAATTAAAATAGATAGATATGTGCATGAAAATTATGTATAAAAGACTCGTTTGTCAAATAATAAAGTGAGTTACCCTCAAAAGCATAATAAAAGTATAATTTTTTCTTCTATAAAGTAATCTTTCTCTATAAAGTTTCTAAAAGTATAATTTTTTAAATAAAATACAGTCTGCACTATCTATTCCTTCGCAGTGTAATCGAATGAAATTGGCAGTGATTCAAATTGAAAGACAATTTATCGATAAAACTTGTTATAGATACACCTTTTGAGAATGCAGCAGAAAAATTTCTTACGCGCGGTACGGAAAATCAGTTTCAGGACGGTACGCGACGGTAAGCCGGCAAACAAATTACGACAACGCCGGAAATTACTATCCCGGTACGCGCGGCGTTAGCCTGGCGCATTTTTAACGTGTCGCCATCGTTTTCGTCGATCTTTGACAAGCAAAAAAAAAACTCGCCGCGCCGTCGTCGGCGAATCGATTTTGTTTGAAAACCGGCGAGTTATTATTATGCACAATATTATTTAACGCGCAAACGCCGCGCGGCACCGGTTTCTACACCCGGAAGCAGAATTAATTTCAGGATTTACTCGACGAAATTCCTTAATATATGTATTATTGAATTTCATTAAAACAATTTTCTACGAAATTTATTGCCGTACAGATAACTTAATAATTGCCATAATTTTGTATCATAAACACAATTGCATTTTCTATATGACCCTCAAAAAACGCTAATTGCGCTAATTAAGGAAATAAAGAGAAATTAATAATAGTCTATAGCTATTGAGAATGAAGTTTAATTCAAATACAAGTTATCGATCTGGGAACCCTCTCCTATGGGGGAGTTTCAATCGATTTAAGAAGAACAGTATCAATAGAGGTATAGCATTAACATTTGATATTTGAATAGTAAACTACAGCACGCATATTATTTACTTGTTACTTTGATTTTACGGCAATGTAAATAGAACTGAAGTATTTCGCGAATAAACTATTTGTTATTCGACAACATTTAATGCATCAATTCTCGGCATTTCGCATGAAATTAAGCGAGAAAAAACATTCCCTGAAACGGTTCACCGTTAAATGTATTTTTAGGACAAAATAAAATTTTTAAACAAAAATTTTGTATGACGTAAAACGTACAGGAACGTGCGAAGATCTATCAATAATGAAATATTTTTAAATTTTAATTATTATAATAACTCATTTGACAATGCACAGTGGCATTTGATAATGTAACAGCATGATTTAATAATGCAATTTATAGTATTCAATTTTCCTAAAATTTCCAATGCTCTTTCATTGAAATACATTGAAATATTTTATTCATCATGCATTTCGAATAACAAATTTCAACCGAGTCGCTAAAAGCCGTTGGAAATCGTCGGCGAACAGGAAACGGGATAATTTTTCCGTCGATTCGCGAAACGTTTCCATTCGTTTCCCATTGCCGTCGACCACCCGGGAGGATACCGGGTCGCAGCGTCGCGTCGCGGGGCACGGCGTCGAAAAGGAGGGCCATTTTTTCTCCACAAATCATGAGAAATCGCGAACGAGCACCGTATGGAAAACTTTTCGGTGGAAATCAGATTTATCGGCGCGCCGTAATTTTTTTGCAGAACGGGAAGGCGGCTGTGTCTGCCAGCGGGAGATAAATGAAAAGCGGCCACGGGAGGAAGTTCAGCCGCGATCGGTACGCCGTCCGCCTCCGCCCTTCGAATGTAGTCAAAAAGTATTTCGACTATATTATTGATTCGTCCGAATAAAGCGAAATCGAGAAATTGATGCCTGATCACTTTTTCTCTTTTGCCTAACGAGGAGACTGAACTGAATTAATCGCAATACCTATAGTAATCAAACTTGACAAGATTAAATTTAGTTTTTAATCAAGAATAATATATTTGAATACATAAATATGTCACGGATTACTCAAGAAAAATTGTATTTCATAGATAATTAAAGTGGCACGACACCAAGTTTATAAGAAAATGCGATGCACAGAATCTTTATCTGTCAAAGAAGATTCTATTAGCGAGGATTCGACGCGGGGAAACCATGCGCACGATGACAAAGGGTGCCAGTTCGCAAGTTTAAAAGAAAATCAAGGGAGCCTCGGCTCGTTTCACGAGACATTAAATTCCGACGGGACGCTGCCATTCGGGAATATACAAGGTGGTTGGCAAACAGTCGTGCAACCGAAGGAGTGAAGATAGTATATAAACAAACGAAATAATAGATTAACATTTTTTTTATTGAACGTTTAACGTCGATTTTTTCGAAATCAGAGTCACGTACCAAAAAATTTTATTGTACATTTCCATCTTATTTTTCCATGTAAAATCACTCTCTTTTCGGTTGTACTGACCGCCCTGTACATGAATATTCTTGAAAGATTGCATTGAGGAAACGAACGGGCAGGAAACAGATGAAGAAGCGAAAATAGCGGAATGGAAACCTGGTAGAAGCTTCCCTCCACTACTGGCGTCGCACGCAGAGGCGAATGAAACCTAGTGACGTGGCAATCGAGTGTGAAATGTTCAACTTCTCTGGTGATACTGAGAAACTTTTCTTTTCTCTTCTCGTCCCGTTTCCATTACGTCACTGGGTGGATCCGTCGTTGCCAGGATTCACGTCCGAAATGTTTCCACCGACGATCGAGGATCCGTTGATTCGTTTTCGTCGTGACGACGACGACGACGATTGTTTGTAACCGATTTTACTGGTGAAAACAGTTTTCATTTCATTTTGGTCATCCTAGAGTTCCTTCAGGACAGTGAGATCTATCGAGAGCTGACATTCGACTTGGCTGGTTAAATTGGTAAGGATTTATGTGGATTTCAGATGTTGACTCTAACAAATTTTTCAAGATTAAAGAGTCGTGTACCTTAAGATCCACAAAAATTGTTATATTGGACAAAGACTACTGCTTATATTCTATGCAACGCTTAAACATCTCAAGAGTTTCATTACCATAGTTAATAAAATAAACCAATGCATAAAAAATGCGACACACAAATAATACAGCTTTATTAGCGAATATTCCACGAAGGGAAGGCGAGAGCTTTTAATTGAATGAATTACAATTTACGCCAGTGGCAATATTCAGTTTGAATATTCAACCGGCACTTAATTCCATTCGTTATTTCCCTCGAGCGGAAAATGAATTGTGTAACCATTAAAACGCCTTTAAGACGGAATCGCTAATCTCGGTGCTCCATCATTTTTCTTTTCCCACTGCACGAAGAGCTTCCCGATTGATGAGCAACTTTACCCCTGGGCGGAGAGCGAGTAGGTAATTGAGGCTACTGTGTCGATGATCGGACTTAACCCAGCTGGTGTATGCGAAAGAGACCATCGATCGATCCCGACGCCACACTAGATTAATCGTAAGGGATGGGGGCCATCGTCTGGATTTGAATGGTACAAATTGAAACCCTTGTAACTTCCTGGTACTTAAGCTGGGAGGCTTTCCAACGTGGAATTCGCAATTTCGCAAACTCCATGAACTTCTTAGACCGAGTGGTTGGTTCATCGTTAAGCGAATTATAACGCGTATTAATTGAAATAATTTAACCACGCCCTTTAACCGAACTTCCTAGCCGCGTTCGTGCTGCTCAACAAGCTTCCTTGCTACTAACTACAACTATTTTAATCAGACGAAATTTGCACGTTTTTACACAGTTCATCAGAATAAATTGATCAATTTATAATTCGAACAAGCCAGTCTGAACTGTAAACATAACAAAATAGACCGAGTGTCCAATGCATTTCCCTTTTATCCTGTAAAAGATAGATAAAACTTACTATAAGGAAATCTATGTCTATCTTTTATATGAAACTCTTTTCTTTATCTCAATCGCCTGGTTTCAAGACTCCCATTTGGTCTCTCGGTCTATTCTCATATGTCTATAGTTAGATCCCGTATTTTCGGTTGTAATCATAGTAACGTCTAGCGTCTGACGAGGATGTAAAAATGATACGCGTCATCGCACAAACGGGTAAGACAATCGAAGCCGGTGGCCGTTATCTGTGCCAAAAATTGCAGATCGATCGGGCAACCGGTTTACGTAAACGTATCGACGTCACTTGAGCATGGCCGCGTTATCGGATTCAAGCATTGCCGCGTCGTTATGTAACGGGACGGGCTTCCAACGACGACGGCGACAGGATCGTTAATTACCCTCATGTTAAGGCCTTTTGCCGCGGTGCGATAGATATATCCATGTCGTGTTCATGCTCCCTCTTATAAGTACAAAGACAATTTAGTTTCGCATAGTACCTGTGCATCGACCTCAGCAAATCTAGTCTAAGCGACAGAATTGTATCGAAAGTAACAATAGAATTACACTAGGCCCACATGATCGTCTTCGCTGATAATTAGTTTCACCTTATCCTCCATCTTGTCACCCGGATTTCTGCGACTACGCTTTCACGTAATTTTACAAATACGTAAAGCCAAATCTCTGTACCACGTTATTGGATTTAATATTATTATGAATTGACACAAACTGCTCATCAAAGTATAATTTGTCTAACGTTTAATGAACTTATTTCAGAATTTGATAATTTAAGCAAATTTTCATGTTTCTTATGATAATTAATGACACCGCTATTTTGCGTAATACAATTAGAGAACACGTTGTGATTATAAACGACTTGTTGTCCCGTTATTGAAATATTATATTTAATTCAGTGCGTTTACTCTTGGAAGACAACGGGCTGGTTGGGTGTAGGAAGTTTCAACAAGCTGATCGAGTTCCTCGAGTTGAACAAAGAGTAGTCTGCCAGGGGTATCTAGTAATAGCAACATGATAAATGTCATTAAGAGCGTCTACTTTCTTAACAGATCTCGTTCGTCCGACTCTTTTCTATCCGTTTCCTCTATGACGATATTAAATAAGGGAAAGAAACAGATAGGACTAAACTGTAAATATTACACAAAAGTACATACCGAGCACACAAAGAAATTGACAACAATTCAATTGCAGAACAATGGATTCGTAAAGAATACGAATATCTGGAACGCAATTCAGATGAACAGCGTAGATACCTAGTGAAAACGTCGAATTTCGGAAAAACTATGAAATTTCTCGAGATGAATGAGAAACGTGATAGAAGCTTTGACTTTAATATCAGACAGGAAATTCGTTCACAGGGTGAAGAACTGGTAGAAAATAAACAGAGGGATATACCTCTGTGTATGTATATGGCAGGGGCAAAAAGAAGAAAGGCCGGAGCGTTCCGATGATAGGATGAAAATCCAAAATAGATGAGACGAAATGGTCGGCGATCCCTGACGGAGGACAAAAACCGGCGGTGCCGAGGGAACGATAACTAAAAAGAGAAAGGACGGCGCGGTGGTCGGCGAGCGAAGGAAAAACTGTGAGCCGCACGCAACCCCCTGGCTGGAAAAGTAATTGAAGGTTCAATTGCCGAATAAATTGGCTCGAATTTCGATCGCCGCGTCCTTCCGTTCTTTTTTTCACCATTTTTCTCCGCGTTTATCCGCCAATTTCAAGAAACAAAGTAGCGCGCGGACGCATCAATCACTAGTAAAACCTACCAAATTCCCGCGAATCGTGTCTTTGTCTGCGTTACAAAGCACGGGGGATAAATCGTAATTGTTCGAGCGATATGACTTTTCGGCTATATCGTGTAATAGGATTTCCGTTCAATTTTAATTGGATCTACCGTTTGTTCATTGTCGTCCGAATTTGCAGTTTTTAGATTGCTTGTTTTACATCGGCTTAACACCACTGCAGTATTTTGATATTTTTTTTTGTTATCGTATTCTTGTAACAATTTACATCTTAAAGATATAGTCTTGTATTGCCTCGTTTCCCTTAAAGTTCCAACAGAACTTGATTTTAGATAACGTTAAGTGATTTCATAACTATTATTATAGGAGAAAAAAGGATGATAAACTTACGTACACATTTTATTCAGTTCATACAAAATGATTCCTCGAATTGTCGGAAACAATCGTTATCATTCCATGGATTTCCTCGCGCCCTAAAATTTAATAAAAACTGAAAGGACGACAGGTATCGGGCAGCAGCAAATTAGTCGTGGAATTGAATAAAAGCGGTTTCATTGACAAAGGGCATTATAGGCAAACAGTAGACTTCAAATTCTATGATTATTCTCCCACTTCGTTACTCCTTTTGTCCGGTTCTCGAATCAAAATCCATCTGCCATCAAATCTACCTCGTTAGGCGAAAAATAAGAATATGAATTGAATTGATTCATAAAGCGAATGCTATTCTTCCTCAGATCTAAATGTATTTCAAAATTCATTTTCAATATCGTTCCTTGTCATCCGATCTTTCGTTCAGTGCTCTTTTTAATGTTCTTACTCGTATTAATAGATTAGTCACCATTTGATATCAACCTACGTTCTTTCAACGCACATGTCGGTTAATGCTACTTACATCATAGTACGTGTTTATTAACGTGGAATATATTTGTGATATGTACATTGTTAAACACTTGATAACCATCACCTTGCAGATATTCTACGTCACACCAGAGCTACGGGGTAACCGAATTAACGTTTGAATTAATGTTTAATCACAATAGTTGCGTGTAGAGAAGACTTCCAGGTGCAGTAAACAGATACGCGTGAAGGGGCTACGTACAGCAGGACTTTTTTAAAACTATTTTTATACGAGAACGCCGTAGCCCGTTTAATGTAATATCTATAAAATTTCACGTTAAAATCCATTGAAACAACCGAGTTACGTTTTATGAAGCAGCTTATTGTTGCACTACTTAAATGCATTTGCCTCACAACAGCGTTTTTCTGAAATATCGAATAAAACGGCACGTTGCAATTTTACACGATATTCTACTTCGAAAGTCAATTGATATCTTTTTGTTTCTATTAAAAAGTAAATGAAAAACTCTCTGATAAAAAATAAAACCTTTACAAAAATACCTGTAGCAGCGTGAACTCTCGTATTTCCAATTTGAAAAAAAAATTAATTTTCTGAATTTCCCGCAGTGATATTAAAAATCGTATTTTTTTTTTTTACAATTCCGGATGTACGTCGTCCCTTAAATGAAAAAGTGTAATAAAGAGAAGAAGTAATAGTTTTTAACTGTGCCAACGTTGGAGAGTACATGAAAAAAATGTGTCAGTGCCACACGGAGAAAATGTTTGACAAAAATTAAAAATCGTATACAGAAACGTATCATGCAATGCGATTTTCGCATGCTTTTGATGAGGTACTCTAATGAACATACAAATCACATACCCCAATGATCTAACGATATTATTTAAATCCTTTTATATACCAAGGTTCATTCGTTGCGCGTGTTATATACACTGTGAGTATAATTGATTTGAATTTAAGTGATTAACGCAGTGCCCAAGATGTTTCGAATCATCGCTCTAAACTTGCGAGAAATATTTTGAATCGCTTGAAGGGTTAGTTCCCTGTTCGTTGTAAGCTTCCAAGAGTTTCAGCAATGTAAAGCGCTTGATAAATTTCGAAAGCATTCAAGCATTAAAGCTTTTCAATTTAAGAAACGAATTGTTACTCCGCGAAGTAATGATTTCAGTACGATAAACATTTAGTTGCAAGCATCGTGTACTGAAAAAGAATTCATTAATGCATGTCGTACAAATTTTGACAGTTTTCAACTCTCATTAAAAATCCGGAAACATGAAAGGTGTTCTTTGTACGCTTGCTGTCTGTCGGAAAATTGCGTGCATGCATATGTCTTGTTTGAATAACCGTAACATCGGATATGACTGAAAAACATTTGAAAGGCACTTTTTGGTAGAAATTACCGGTAGGACATGTTTAGGATGTACAGTGGAACCGAATCGCGAGGAAAGCTCGATGAACAGAGGTGGTGCAACGGGGATGGATGCTCGTTAGCAGGCGAGGCACATTTGCGAGCCCCTCCCGCGATTATCCCCCTGCGGAAACGTGTATCAGAGCCGGTGCAGCGGCGGGCAGCTTTAAAAAAGTCACGGTGGATAGGTTTAAGCGTGCTATTATATGGAGAAAACACGTGGCCCGGCCCTGCTCTACGCTACACGATACAACCTTTGCTGCACGTAGTTAACTACTCGTTACGAGCAACGGTGCAATCTCGAGGATCGACCGGCCAACTTGGCAGGCACGCACGCCGATAAAAAGGGCTCACGACCCCCCCATCCCCCGCGTGATATACGTGCACGCGCAACACTGGAAAAACATTTTTTCCCTTGATATCGCTACCGAAGTTTTCGGCCCGGTTAATTATTCTACGCGCGCAGCCAGCAGATCGTACCTTTCAACGCTTAAACTAAATCGTAAAATAATATATGCAAAGTTTAATTAATTAAAGTATGCAGAAAATATTAATGAAAGGGTTTTGATCCAATATTTTCTATAAGCTACGTACATCATACAAAGAGTGCTTTCATCTCGTCAGGATTACCGAGTTAATCATTTTTAGTAGATAAACTCGGCTGTAATTCCAACTGAAAATGGGGAGCATAGCTGATTTACAGGTTGAAGGGTTCAGATCGCTGGTCGCATTATCAGAGAATTATCGCTAGAGAGATTGTCGACGATCGAGGTAAACAAACGTGGTAGGACATATAATGGTGTATGCCAGAACAGTTTATTTGCGGTTTAATTTGCGCTAAAGTACAGATACTCATGCAAAATGAACGGTATGTACAGCGTGGATGTGCTCGGGCTTCGACGAGTCCGAGAAACGCGAAATCGACACGTAAAGCGGTTGTGAATTAAATTCAAATAAAATAGACGCGTAGAAAAGAGCAAGGAACAAATTGTATGCGGATTGTTCGTTGAGCTTTAAAAACGTGGAACGTGTTTCACCACGCTTTCCTCTTTCGTATGCTTTGTTACATAATTGGAATTGAAACCAAACGCCGGAGAACGACAACGTTTATTTGTTTGACACATATTGACAGAGACATAATATTATTAATACATAAAATGGAAAGAAGCTTCGTGAAGAACGTCCACTTGTCAATTCTTATTACACGAGTTACTAGATGCGAAATAATCAAATTGCGCGTGAAATTGCCGCGAGCGATGCGTGATAAGTATTTATAATTGGTGAAATTTTTTTTTGTTCATTATATATATATATATATCTTATATGTATATATATATGTACGTATGTATATAACATATTACGGTAAATAAATATATAATATATGTACAAATAATACCTAGGCGAACGCCACTTCGCGTTAAGATGTCGCCACCCCGAGCCGGGACTGCCGTACTGCAACAGACACCCGAAACACTGTCATCATATGCGTTCAGCATTTGTCAATAATGAAAATCTTCTCGGTTGCATGCCGATAACGTCGAGATGCAAATTGTCAATCAGCACACGATACGCTATCGTTTTGTCAGGGGTTGAAATTAATTGCGAAGCAAAACGATTTAATAGGGGACGATTTTTATCAGAGAGCAAACTGGACATTTTTAATATCTCATATATAACAAATTGAACATCACCCGAATTTGCGAGTGGAAATCCAAATCCCTTTAAAGATTGAAAATGTATATTTATAAAAAAAAAATTTCTGTGCTTTCAGTTAAATATTAATTAGCACTTCATAGTTCATAAATTTTTCCAACAGTTCATGTATTCTATTTCACAAAAGGAATTCAGTTTCAACCCCTGATCTATGTAAGTTCTTACTCCATCGCGTTGCAAAGAGTATCGGTAATTCTTTCATCGATTTTCAATTATGCGAATCGACGTGCATTAAAACTACACACAAACGCACTTGGTCCGCGAGAAAGGTTCTCCGAAACAACTCGAGGCTCGATAAGAGTATCCGATTCACCCCCGGTGAAAACGAAGCTTTCGAATCAATTATCACAATTTCCAACGAGCGGAGCGCGCAACGTGTGTTACACGATTAATAGCGAACCAGACTTTGAGCGAAAGAAAGACAGACAAACAGATAGAGCGCATGGCCCTGGCCTCGTTCGAAATGTAATCCGGTCGGGGAAATTGCAATTTCCATGCTGAGCCAGGAATAACGGAGCGACGACATAAAATATAACAGAGCGCGCGTGCTTGGTCGCGGGAGCTCGTTGCTTTTTAATTGTCTTTCGTTCGCCCGAAATCGGGACTTTCTATCGCGGAAATTGCTGTCGCTTTTTCCGGCGCGGCGTGCCCGCCGTCCCTGATACATCCGTCATGTCACCGCATTAAACAACTTTCGCTCAGCTCGTTCGAGCCTCGTTGGAAATATCAGAAACGTGTTTCCTCTGCGACTATTCGATGGAGTAAGCACACATGGGACTCTGTCAAAGGATTTTCCTATTATTCAACCCACTTCATTCTCTTTACGCGTATTGACATTTTTAAAGAAAATTCTTACTCGATTCATTGCTTCTCATATAAAGCAGTATTATTGTTTTATTTAACATGACGTATACACTGCAGATTGTAGATGTGATAGCGCGTAATTTAAGCACGTTGAACTAGCAGCTAATTCTACTTTAATTTGTTTTGTAAACGAAGAATCCTTTGCTCTCAAGTCCCTTTACGTAAATTATCGGAGCTTCTTCTCAAAAGTACATTCACTGTTAATTGAAAATTGGCACTCTCATATGCAAAAACGAAGAGAGGCTCGTATCGAATACTTTCATGCAATAGAAAAGAAACTCCGAAAGTGATCTTAATTACGTTAGTAGAAGAAATCAGGTTCAAAGAGGACTGCAAATAAAATCGTGTTAATCTAAATTATGTTCGTCACTCGGAAGAAAACGGATTAATATAAATACGTTGATGCAATTCATACTCCCAACAATAAAACAAGGGAAAGTGTTGTACAATCTGTGTAATAAAAATTCAAAATTGCATGTCACACGCGATCTTTCAGGCGAGTAATACGTATCGCGTTGATAACGTTTGTGAGGCCGTGTAACAAATTTCGCACAAGTATCGAACACTTTGTAAAACAGTAATGTGTTCAAAATTGTTTATGTGACGTCCAAAAGCGTTAGATTCAATTAATCGTAAAAATCTTCAGCCCCGGAAATAGGTCAAATAAATCCATACATAACGATCAGATGTAGTGGTTTGATGCGATCGCATTTAAATAATTCTCACGATTATTATGGAATACTAATTTTACTTAAGCATTCATTAAACATTTAGCATTTTATAAAACAGATTTGTTATTATGACACGTTGACTAGTTATTAATAGTTAGATGCAATATACTTAAATAATCGGTTGTACCGAGCTAAGTGTTTAAATATTGTGTTCAACGTTCTATGAATTCATGAAACTCAAAATGGAAAATGTAATGCGCAACTGTGTAAATATAAACGTCTAAATTTAATATCGACTCGACTTCTAGATTAAAACAATTTTTTCTCGTATCATTTTATTACTTGCAGCATATGAAACTTGATAATTGTAAATGAAAAAAGATTAAATACTGTACTGAGTGTGCAAGTGCGTGCATATGATATGATTATTTTCCTGAAGGGTTATTACGTACACTTATAATTTATAATGCTCCTTGTTCTTAATTCTTTTCGTCAACGGTAATCTCGCCCAAATGTTGGGATTTAACAATATGCAGAATGAAAGGGAAAAGGGAACGAAACCGTAAAAACCCCTAGCTCGGTTTAAAAACGAAAAAGGAAAGGACAATGTCCTACGAGGAAGTTGGAAAGTTATTTGCGTGACGAGAAGAAATTACTCTCATATTCCTACACAAACAGCTAATCTGAACTGTAAAGCGGCGATCTGGCTACGAAACTTTCCGACCAAACCACAAGCTAATTGAGTTGTACCCTCGCTCAAGGGAAAAACTTTATCGGTAGCAGTTCGCGGTTGATCCAACGGAACAGTTTCATCGCAATCTGCCGTTACGTAACATCGTGTGTGTGATAGTTATACCATTAAATACACTCTCAGCCAAAAATAGGAGACACTTTAGATGATGCGCCGTTTTTTAATAAACTTTCCAAGACACTTCATAATTATTGAATAAAGAAACAATTTCTTGTAATATGATGTTGCAAGCGTACAGTCTTGTAATTTTAACCGATAATATACCGAGTAATAGGATCCCTAAATTAAAAATGAAACAGCTAAAAACGTTCATGAAAAACTCGATCTTACTGTTTTTTTTACTAAGTACGAGTATAATGAAAAGACTTAATTAGATTTCACAAGGTTACTCGCGTTACCCGGTTGATCCCATCACTGGACACGTCGTCACGCGTTAAATCGTTCACTGCCCGACGTTTAACGTCGAGAGGACGTCACGCAAAGCGGAACCCCGAGTTTCTGGAGGCTCGCGTGGAAATTAACGCGTCACGACTTCATCGGGTTTGATAGGATGTGCACCTAAACCCTGAAGCGAGGCCGTCGGCCGAAGTTAGAGCTCGTCTACAAACACCATTCGCAGTTAACGACGTGTCAGATCAAGCGCGAAACTCTGTTTTCGGCTTTCATTAGCTACCGCGCCTAACAAGATGCCGACCGTGAAACTACAAGAATATAAATGCCCGGTTTTATAAGATTTTCGTCCAGATCACTGTCTTCTCGCATTAGTTATGACTTTTGACGAACTTACATTTATGACGAATTGCATTTATGAATTTAGAGAAATATCTAGTTATAATGTTTCAAAGGCAACATCATCGATTACTAACTTTTTTAAATTCCGTTGTATAGAACATTTGCAATAATTTATCTGCGCACATGTATTTGATTCATAAAAAAATTCAATATCGAAGAATCTAATTAAACGTAATGAAAAAATCATACAACTCTGTTAATTTCGGGAAAGTAGTCTTAAGAAAAATGTCAAACAGCCAGAAATCATTCACAGTCGAAAATGCATTTGAAACTTGTACAACCTGTCGAGAAGCGAAGTTAGTAAAGCTGCAAAGTAACACCAGCGATTATTAAAGAGACTGTCTGGCGCAATAAAAACGCGCAGCATCACTCTGACGATCGACCACCTTAAGAGGTAGTAGCTACCTTTCATTGAATCAAGGCAGGTTTCCTGTGGTTCATGTTAAAGAATCGGAACTGTAGCCGCAGCGTTAGGTCTTTCCGTACTGTTGGGAAAGAATAGAGGTGTCGTAAGTATACATCGCAGCTCTGACTCATCGAGTCTCTCATCATTGGGTGGTAAAATCGTGAAGATCACGGCATACATTGCCGTTCTTTATGGTGAACAGAAATTCCGAAACGATCTTTATTTTTTCTTTAAGCAGATTCATAATATATTACCGAAATAAAATATTTTTTATACGGTACATGAATAAAAGATTGTAGACTTTCGTAATCGGTTCGAAATTTCTTTGGTCAGCTAACAATAACACAGATGTAGCACGCCATCGTACTTTTCTCGGGTCATCGTGATCTCTATAATCACCGTACGACCTTAACGTTATGTGACGAGCATCTAAACGACAATGAGACGATAAATTGCGAAACAGAGGAGCAACCGTTGTACATTGACACGGAGACTCGACTTTGTAATATAATCCGAGATATGTGTACTCAGTCTTTTGTCTGTCTATATTCATTGTCATATCAATTAACCATCGCGTTTAAAAGTCCATTTGCATTCGAATGGTTTGACTTGCTTGTCTTTCTGTGATTTTCGTCGGATCTTACTACACAAAATGTATGCAATGGAGCGAAATGCGGAAGAGGACATTGCAGGCAACTTAAATAAAATCATAGGATGGATGCATGAATTATGTGCGAAAGATGAGTATTATTAATATTAATATTACTATCGATTAGTACGTTACACTTTATATTATAAGTGATACTTGAATCGTGTAGCCGTAATATTATTAACTTACAATACACCAGTAATAAAACACCGGAGTTTAAATAAAATTATACATGCTATAAATACCGGTGCAGTATTTTTAATAATAACATTCTAATAAGGATGATAGTATTTTTTGATTAGGGTAAACAGAAATAAACTGATTGTAATATAACTTCAAAAGAAAGGGAAAACTTTATCAAAACTATACAAAATACGTAAACACTTGCAAATAAACGAAAATATTTTTTGGAGTCATTATTAAACTAACAATTCATCACTTTGAACATCACTTTATAATTAAAATTCGGGACCATTCACGAGAATTGAACATGTACTAAGAAAATCAGGCACGTTAGAGACGAATACCGATGGTGTCAAAAACAAGGATATCTTTTTTTCAACGAATACTACTCACTGCGCTAATTAGCGCTATTCTTCGCGTCTCATGCCGCCTACTGGGATAGCAAAAGTTCTCGAAGGTTCACCGGCCTCTAGTTTAGCGCGTTGCACACGACAAACTAATAAGGAAAGTAACTATTAAAATTTTTAGAAGTTTCGTGTAGGTTGTAGGAGCAAATTTTTTAAAGAATTTCCGTATAGTCCAATGCATGCGTTTACGCATATTTTCTTTTTGGAATGATTACGAAATGAATGCGAACATGATGAAAAGAAAAAGATAAGAAGCTGGTTTTGGATCAAGCGTAAACAAACAAAGCATGAGCATGCTGTACGTAAATTGAATATAGGAATGAAAATCTCTGAGGAATATGAAGATTTGAACCTGTATAGAATATTTATTATGGAATGAATTTATCGAGTATCATACAGTAAAATAATATTAATAGAACAAAAGCAATAAGTATGATCTCTCTAAACAAATCTCATTGACAATCAGGTACATCCTTATCGGACCAAACAAAGCGAAACTGGATGAAAGCATGAATCACGTTGCTTGTTAATACTCAAGATAAGCTAAATATAAGCACTAATGACAAATGAAGTACGACTTAAATAGACATCATACCGAGACAAATGCTTAAGTACTTGGCTGAAAATTGAAAATAGACCGTATGATATACTTAACGATGAATTCTCTAGGTACAGAATTTTTTTAGTAAGGAAAGGAACAGAAATTTTCGAATGTGATTAAGTGAAATAAAAATGCAGGAAACGTAAAATGTCAAAGGGACGAAGAAAAAAATCGATTGTGAATGGATGCACTCTAGAGTTTTATAATTACCTCTATGCCACTAGCTAGAAAAATAATGAATAAATTTAGCGGGATGAATGGATGAATGATGATTTGCTAATAAAGCACTATAAAAGACTACGAAGCGGATTCGGAAGAGTTAGAAGCGATTCGTCATATGATCTCCTTGGTCCCCCATACAATTGCTCCCATCTAAACGAAAAATTGGTAGTATAAACATCGCTGGAGTATACGAAAAATGAAAAACCCGTCTCATTTAAAATGTACAAATAAATGTTCATATTAAAAAGGTATGATTCCAATGTGGCACATATCTCTGGATAAATAAGATAATACGATGATCGTTTTCAGTCATGAACGTAAGAAATAAACGTTCGTGATATGACTTTTTTAAAACTCCTGAAAGAAAGTTTACATTGGTATCTATCAGGGAATTGTAAAGTTACATTTTATATCAAAGATAAGGAAATAATGCTTAAGATATGTTCATCAAATTTACTTAAATGATAAACGATTATCTTCAATATTCTATAGTTTCTATACTGAGAAGTACAGACATTCGCCAAAGAACCTATTTAGAAAGATAAAGTTCTTCCAGGCGAAGGCTTATTATTAAGAATTAAGCTGAAATTGAAATATGATCGATATCGACACTTCGATGGAAGTATCATTCTGAAAATGGACTGTGTTCCTACTTACTCCTGTCAATGTTGCGTTGCAAGTGTGCAGCTACGCGATGTCTAGCATCATTGAACTCCAAATGAAGACCAAGTCGGAGCAATGTCGGATTTTGCTCCACCAACTGCGTAATTTCCATTTCGATTTTATTTCCCAGTACCTGAGACCTCTGTATTAAATACAAGAACGTGGTATATTAGAAAGGCCTATTAAATTTATTAAGCAACTTTTTATTGAAATTAACAGACATGTAATTTACCTGATTCGAACATCGGAACTCTTCTATTGACTTCGTCTTAAGAAGTGCTCTGATGAGCCTCACTATCACAGATGGGCTTATGAAGTTTGTCTCCACGCTGAAATATTTCAATTTAAAATGAAACGAAATTGCCAGTATGATACGAAAATGAACGCGTGATCAAAGGTATACTGACTTGAGTACTCTGAGCGTAGAATTCTTCTCCAAGGCCTCTGCCAACCTTTGTGCAGTCTTGTCAGTGAGTCCCACATTTGTTAAACTCAAAGATTCGAGATGTGTATTCATCTCCAGTCCTTCAAATAGTTGAATAAATTTTTCGTCAGATATGTTCTGCAAAGCAATAACAATGAATTACGTCACATATAATTCAAAGTATGTAACTTCTTACGTTCATAACCACATCTTTACGTACTTTTATATTGTTCCAATTTAACTCAGTCAAAGAAGAGTCGTCCTCTCGAACTTGTTTGATAGTAGCATCTACGTCTGTATCATTAGGCGGATCCATTGGGTAAGGTTTTGGTTGACTAGCTTTCGTAATGCCATCCCAACCCAAACCAACGGGCTGGCCGGCATTTAATAAAGAAGCATGATACTGGTCTTGGTTCATCATGGAATGAAATCCGAGAATAGCTACGCGCAAAAGCAATGAGTATTAAATATCACGAGTACAATGACTGAGACATATGCTATTACACATTGAACTGGTATTTACCAGCAAGATCAATAATTTCTTCTTGAGTAGCATTAGATAATGCATGCTCATATTCTTCTCCAAGATCAATAGCAATTTGCTCTTCTGCCTGCTTTTCTTTCGCAGTTTCTTGAGGTGGTGGGACCCACTGAAAATTGGTCATAAACATATATGTGAGTACTCTCTGAATACATGAAATAAATAAAATGTTTAATATAAAAACTCGAGTTACCTTTTTGCCTCTAATTACACCAGGTACATAAGGCTTTAATTCAGGTATATCTGGTGTCTCTAAAGCTTGTTTGTTGATGTGTTCAATAAGTTTCTTACGATTTAGCGGTCCTGTTGGACTCTTGTCACATTCATAGCTACAACGTTGAGATGGTGGCATAAAGCTATCCTGTAAAAGTAATACGACGTGTAACATCAAACTGAATATAACAATTTATGATTTCCTTACATCAGGATCCACTTCCTTGGCAAGCATATTAATTTCTTCTGGCGTAAGTTGTGCCAGCAAGTCGTCCACGTCCACATCATCGTATTCACTTAAATCCTTCCCATATAACTTAGCTGCAGTTGTCATAGTGGTCGTTTTGGTTGATGAAGAAGTCTGCAAAGGTTCCCATGGTTCTTGGTCAACAACTGAGTATCTCCGTGACATTTCGTTAGTTAAATTATTAATGCAAATATCTAATAGTAATAATATTTAACGATTCTTTGTTAACACTAAGCTATGTTAGTTTTCTAACACGTTCTAATTGTACGGAAACACTATCTTCTTAGATCAAATTAAAAGCTTTTTAAATTTTATCGAATCAATTTCGTAATGTTATGATAGTGAGTAATTTCACTCTCCTGAAACCCGCGCGAGCGGAACACGCCCGAAGTTCAATGGAACAATTAAAAACAAACGAACAAGATGGACAGAGCCTTAAACGGACGATCGTAAAATCGAATCGGAACTAGAATGAATTAGTAATTATTATGATCGGACGTAATATCATCGGTGAAGTAAGCCCGTCACAGAACACGTTCATCACTGCGCCCAAGAGTACACGCAGGCCAGTGTTCCTGATCGAACGACCAGTAAATCGAGAAGTTGCATTTAAATTCGGCAACTGTCCAATGCGGCTGATGCCCTTTGGCCCACATAATTCGGGATCGATTTTCATTGACAACTCATCTGCCAAATCGACAAACCAACGCTACGCTAAACGGAGATCCGCGTTGGAGCGGTCAAGAAATTAACGCACGAACGAGAAACGAGGGCTTACTTGTTAAAAAAGAATCGTTTGCGGCGACGGACTACGATTGATAATGAATTTCTGTTGAGGGAAATTAGGCGAATCGCTTGCGACCAAACACCTCACCCACTTCGCACGACAAACGCACACTTTACTGACCAGTTCACCGATTGCGGCTGATTGCGGCAGCGCCCTTTGACGCTTATACCATATTCGAACAAAGAACAAGTGGAACGAAACGAAATAAATCGGTGAATATGTTAAAACCAACTTCCTGATATTTGACCGGGACGAAACGATATTTTAAATAGGAGGAACATTTACTCGATACGAATAATTGTAATATAAAAACAGAAAACTTTCCATTGACTTATCAATTGATGCAACTTGACACTAACCTTGCCCAGTGTTAGTTTGAACGGAGTATAGGAGTGATGCTAACCCATGGAGAAAGTTTCTGCGCGTCTAGCGTCGCGCAGGTATTGACGTTGATGTAGCATCCGCGGCGGTCGTTTCAAAACACGACCATATACGTACAGTACGAGATTCACGAGTTGCGAAAAAGTGAACAGACATTTACCATTTTCGCTTTTACCCTTGGTCCTATTTGATACTTGCGAAAGTAATTACTGACTTACTGACACATGCATTTATGCAGTAAATCACTAATACATGTTCTAGATAAAATCTTATAATTAAAACAGCATTATGTATACGTGTGTAATCAGTTGTATGTTTAAAATTGCCTACTACAGAAGAAATCTGTCCTCAGAGCTAACAAGACGGAAAATGGTAGAAACGAGGTATTTCATCGATTATCGTTTCAATTTTGCTGCTTCAATGATGCCAGTAGTCAGACTTACAATGCAACTGCAAGTAATTTTAATTCAAATAAAACTGCTTTTGAGTATGGCTAAATTGTCCATGCATTGAAGATACGAATACGTAGGACAATTTCCAAAGGAAGCTAATTTCTAAACTCTGTGCGATGCTCCTCCTTTTATAGCTCCGTAGAGATATCTCGGAGGGGGATCACGGAGATATAAAAGGAGGAGCAGTTCAGTACTTCGACAGTCGCCAGCGGTTGAGCATCGCATTCGGTTTTTCAAGTAGATTTTCATATTCACATCCTACCACATTCGAAATTAAAAATATGTATTTAATCTTTGTTATAAATACTTCAAAAAATGTAATTCGACTGGTTCAATTTCAAGTTATATGAGTCTCCAAATCTCTGATAACAACTGATATATCAGTTCTGATCAAGGTCGCGCGAAGACCAGTAATCATATCGTACGTAACGTAAAAGCGAGTGAGAAAACCGAAGCGTGTTAGCTGGGAAAGAAAGCGCATGGTCCGGATGGCCGTCTCCGTCGTTCGGTTCAGTCGTGCAGTTTGAATAGAGAGCGTCTATCACGCGTTTCGTAGCCTCAAAAATAGCTGAGGCCTCCTCGCAGGCTGGCACACACCCAACAGTCTATACTTGGCCATCCTCGCGCCATGATTATTTATAGTGAGCGCGAGCGCGGCCACTGTCCTTCCCGCGAGCTAACTAACCGCCTCCAAAGACGATCCGCCGCCCGTGACCTAGGCCCGCATTAATAATGATTACACCCCTGCGCTCGCAGGAGAATATGGCAACTTAATATCTGGCTCCACTACTGAAACGCGTGCACGATCGGGAATCTGGATACTTTTGAAGTATCGAGGAAATTTCTATTAATTTCTATAGAATATAAAATAATTTTTGGAAATTAAAAGAATTCTTATTAATAACTAGCATTCTCTGTCGCAGCTTCGCCCACAATACTTAGTCCTGGTTAAAAATGATAGAATTCATTTTTTACCGAAGTACCTCCATGTAAACAACATTTATAGCGCTATATGAATAAGCCTGTCAAAAGGAAGATCTATAGTACGGATCTATAAGAAGAAGCGCAAACTAATTTTATGTATTCACCAGAATTCTTGTTCCATTACTATTTTTTCAATTTTCACATTCATGCTTCTCGTGCTTATGTAATTTTTAAACAGGATGCAAGTTATATCAGATCATTAGCACACTCAGATGATACAAGAGAACATCCCGTTCTTTTGTAATGCAAACATTATTCGTCATACCTTCTATGAATAACAGGAAGATAGAGAAAATGAAATCAATTAAGATTTGTACACGGATACCATCTATTCCAATCATCGATCAGATCTGAAACTTTCAGTGCTCCAAATAACGCGCGTGCTCTCACTGATCGCGAGAAATCTGTTTGGTAATTAGTCTGGACGGTTTCCTGTGCTGTGGCAGGTTTATTTCTGCGTAACCAAATGAAACCCACTCGGCTTACTTTCACGGCCACGAAAAAAGGGGAATCTCTTTCCGTCCGGGCGGATCACGCCAGTAATATTTTCACGCACGTAACGACCTACCGTTTGAATTCACGAGAACCTTTGGGTGAAAGCTTCTTTGTAAAAGGAACAAATAGACGAGGAACAAGAAGACGAAGAAAGAAATACAGGGGAGTGCCTGTTCGCGAGAAATTCTGATGCCTCGCTTATCACTGTATCTAATAATAAAATCGCTTAATAGTTATCTATAAATAATGAATTACTTTCGAGAAAATGTTGAGTTATAAAAAAAGTACCTTAGTATTTCCATTTAATTTACCAGGATTTTTAACCATTTTTTTCTGATCATTCTAAGTATTTAATAGTACATTAATACTAATTAAATCGGCATTTACGAAACTTCACGAAAATTGCAACGCCGGTTCACCGATCTTTAATCACTTTACCAATACTCTTGCCTCAAACTCATTAGCCATAAGTGTACCTGAACCCGCGCTAACAACGTTGCGTAACACGATAGAGAAGACTTTGTTTCGACCCTGATAGGCGGTCATCGAGTTTGTAACTTCTGTTCGAGTTAAGTGGAATCCCAAAATTAGGCCGGTTTAAGTATCGGTAAAGGCCACAGAAGAAGAAGAGTCCACAATCGAGACGATTCATCCTGCGAATTGGTCGTAGAGCGCGCTAATGGACCGTGCACGCAATTAGAGGAGCATGTTTCCTCAAAAGCGCGCCTAACGAACCCATAAAGACGGTATTTTCAGTCAGACGAACCAGAATTCGTGACATCGTGCATAAAGGAATTCGAAGAGATGCTAGGAACGGTACCCGAGAAACGCGTTTAACATATTTTGAACAGGTCGTTATTAATTAACGTAACGTTATGATCCGTAGCGTGAATAGAACATTCAGTAGGAGAACAACCAAACATCTCAGGATAGAAGTAGTGCACAGGTGATGAAATGCTTAAATAACATTCTACACTGATACTCACATAATAACCAATAATTCATTCATTCGTGATGAAAAATTTCATGGGAAAATCTTAAACAATACAACTATTATCTTATTATACAACCTTCGAGATTATGAAATATCGATCGTTAAAATGCCAAGCGTTTCGATAAACTTTTACTACAGAAATCTGTCCATTCACAGCGTTATGGACTTCATAAATATTAAATAAATAGTAGGAAGTGTACAATTGTCCAAGCGTTCGAATCAAGTTACCATGTATAGATCAATAACTAACTAGTTCTTTGAGAAACGATATAAACAGTCCCCAACGTCATCTAAATACGGAGCAAGTGTGACGTCGGCGGCTCTCAATTAACAGAATATATTGACGAGTTTTGATAAACAGAGCGTCAGGAGTCGAGGTAAAAGCCTTCTATGGTCAGACGTGAAGTTGCGAAACGCGGACTCCTGGGGTCTTCAGAGTTAATCGGTAAAGTGCAGACGGTCGTTGCGCACATCTCAGGATGGTTAGATTTCAACGGTATTCCATCGAGATCTCGCATATTATTCGCACACGCGTTATTGAGGATCAATGATATCCTTGGGAGTGATCACGATTATTCACTACCCACGCGTAATCATATCTCCCAGTCAATCTACTGTATTGAAATAGAATAACTTGCTTATCCAATCAATGATATATTTATGTTCTGCGTCATTAAGAATTTAATTTATAAAATATGGTATAGAAAATTAATAGTATTAAAAAATATTAGAAGGTATGTGGAAAATGAATTTTAAATATTTGCCACTTGTACTGATTTCGTTGTCATTTAATCAAAGTTGATCGGTTCACAATAATACATGCAGTCACGATGCATTTCTCTTTACTGCATGTGGCAAGCTCCACGAACTGGACCAACTCGAATTTCCATCCATAGAAATCGGAAATTCGACTCCTTTGGCGTCTCTCTTCCATAACAGACTAACTTTTTTGCCGAGCATGTCAAGGAATTCGAATTAGAATTACTTCCGAACGCTGACACGAAGGTAAAAGTTAAACAGG